CTCTCTCTCACACTCTCTCTCTCTCACACACTCTCTCTCTCTCACACACTCTCTCTCTCTCACACACACACACACACACACACACACACACACACACACACACACACACACACACACACTACAACTGCTTTTAACAGGCAGCTTCCTTCAGGGTTTCACTTCCTCTGCCTGAATAATGATATTCAGCGTTTAACACTCGCTGTAGGTCGCCACGGAAACAAGCCAATTTTCACACTGACAGCTTTTTTGTTGTTTTTTTTTTTTTACAGGTCTCTTGGACTGTGTCTCCTCGGTTACCGCTCGTTACTATGAGGACTGACAGAGAGCCACACATCCCACACATCAGTGAGACACACTGTTCCTTCATCACCGTGAACACACGCGGATTAATACGCCGCTGAAAATAGTCCCCGGCTAATGCACTGTTTCCTCCTGCTTGATGAAAACTACAGTGAGCAGCTGTTTGAGGAAACTAGGCCGATATACTCGGAGCCACGTTATTACTATTAGATAAAACAGAACAACTCCGATTATTTTATCATCGAGTAGAATTAGAAAATAAAAGCCAGCAGACAGAGGCGCTTTCACCCGTAAATACTGACTTAAACCTAAAGGATGTATTTAAAAACTTATTTCTGGCAGAGCAGTTTGTTTAAATGATCCGCTTCCTGCGGCAGATCTGAGACTGAGCTGCTGCTCTGAGCCACAGACAGAACAGACGTTTGTTGACAAGAAGAAAACAACCAACAACAACTGACACTTTATAAATCCTAATCAACTTTAACTCATTTTATTTCTTGATTACATTTTTGGCTTCAAACCATTTTGAAAACAAGATAATTGAGATAAAACTATTTTTGTGCCTCATTCTTTTTCACAGCAAATTTCATCCCCATACAATCAGCAGGTTGTGGAAAAACACTAATAATAAATAAAAAATATTTTTATATTATATATTTAATTGTAATATTAAGATATTAGATATTTATTATTTTATTTATTTATCTTTAATTTCTTAATGTGTTTTTCTGTTGATTTGTATTTAAAGTTCGAGAAAGTCGACTGTTAGAGTAAGTGCATGTTGTTTCCAAAGTCAATGAGTAATCATGTTAAATGACTGATTCTGATTGTGATCAATGATTCAGCTCTACTTCCCGACTCAAACGTATTCTAATTATTTAAAGTAGGTTTTATTCTGTAGCGGTGTGTGTTGCCTGGAGCTCAGGGACGCTGCACGCTGGTGACGTTTCAAAGTGAAACTAATGAGTTGTACTATGCTGTTTGTGGCCGTAACGTTTGGAGACGACGGTCTGGTCACAGTGAGCGGTGTAGAAATGAACCAGAGGGAAAAGCTGTGACAGACCACGGGTGTCGGGTCTATATGCTGCATGTCTACGTATGGCCTGTAAACACATGCCTTTTGAAAGTGGTCATGCGTGTGCAGGAGGCGCACGCACAGATATGCTCTTTTTTCTTGTTTGTTCATATTTAGTAATTAATATTAATAAAATAAAAACTTATTATCATAATGATTTTTGTTCTGTAATTATTTCTCTGTGCTGCTTGTGGCTGGAGCTGAGACCCGATACACATCTGATATATAATCACACCACATTTTGCATGTTTGGTCTCCACAGTAATATTCAAATTTGTGGTGTCACTTCCTGTTTTTTTTTAATATGCAGTAAATAACTGATCAAAAGAAAAAAGAGTCTTCAACAGTCCGACTGACGGAGGAGAGTCACTCCCTCCATCGACTCTGTTAGATTCACACTGATGTTAAAGTTTAATCTTGGAAGCCTTACATGTCTCCGCCCCCAGGTACATCTCCGACCTACTGACCAGGTGTGTCCAGCCCAGAGTATTGATCTGCTGAAGGTCACAGCTTGTGAGTGGGGGTGACCAGGTGTTCACTATCAGAACCCCCCCACTCTGGAATCAGATGCTTTGACTTCCTTTAAATCTCTTCTTAAATCACGTCTTTGTCTCAGCCCGTCTGCACCTTTTATTTACATCGTTTTATCCTTTATTCTGGTTCTTCCATCTTCTTTTTCTTTTCTCTTCCTGCTGATGTGAGATGTATTTTTATTCATGCTGTTCTTCTCTTTTTATTAAGTTCAGGTTCTTTGGATTTTATCTTGTTTTACTTTTTCTCGTAAAGCACTTTGTAACTTTGTTAAGAAATGTGGTGTAAAAATAAAGTTATTATTATTATTATTATTATAATGTGGTTTTATGTTTGACTGTAGCTCAGAGAAAAGGTTTCTTCTTCTTGGCTCATTGAGAGAACTGAAAGTGTCTGTCTGGACTGAACCACGTGAACGTAGTGAAGAGAAAAGGTGTGATGTGGGTCGGCTGGTTCCAAGCCTCAGATGTCTGACAACAACAGTAGTTCTCATAATTCACACCCACACGACCACGAGGTGACAAACTGTTCGCTGCAGCTTCTTCTTCAAGCTGAACTCAACATGAGTGAAAAGCAACAGCTCTGAGAATCAGTTGGACACCTTCAAGGTCACCCCCCCCTCCCCCCCCAATTCCTCTTACCCTCACACGTGTCGTCTCCCTCTGACATCAGCTCGTCGTCAGAGCAGATGTTCAACACGTTCACCAGCATCTCCGTCACTGTGTGAAAACACAAGAACACGCCAGAGTCACACACACGCACAAACGACACGACGACACTGAGCGTCAAGGTTTTTAATTCTCCTGATCAGGAGGTTTCACTCGGACCAATCAGCTCCAGCTGCCGCGTCTGATCCAGTTTCTAACACTGGGTATCAGCAGCTCATTAAATACGTCTCTACATGCGACTGATGACTGTTTTCATTATTGATTAACTGGCCAATTATTTTCTCCATTGATCCTTCAGTCTATAAAAACATCTACTTTAATAATAATACATCAAATCAGATTAGAGACCGTGTTCTGCTTCAGAAAGATTCAAACGATTATTGATCGAGTGATCGATTAGTTGCAGCTGTGTGAGTCTGACACATGAAACAGCTGCAGCTAATAAACCTGATACACCTTCATATTCACGAGCTGATTCCAACCATCAGGTTTAACTGAAGAAGGTCCTGAAGGTGATGGGATGTTTCTACAGGTTCAAATTATATTTAAGACTTTAAGATTTTTAAATACCACAGAAAAAGAAATTCAATGTCTGACATTCGCCCTGGTGGAGGAATGATGGAAACCAGTGGGGACGATAACATCTGCGCTCCTCAGCTCTATGCAACAAGAACTCTGAAGAGAGATGATCGACTGATGTGCCCCAGATTAACGTCCGGATCAACCAGCAGCTCCTGAAGCATCCTCCAGTCACAACACGCTTCAGGTCATTTAAAGGGAGCGCATGCTGATGATGTCATAAGAGCTGCAGCCATTGTTGTGTTTACAAGATCAGACATTCTTACTTCATTTAGGAAATCTTCCTCACTTTACTTTCAGTGTGTGAATCCTCTACACACACACACACACAGAGACACACACACACACACACACAGTGACAGGACTCTCACCTTTCTCTCCGACGAAGGGCAGAGACCAGGTGAACACGTCCATGAAGTTGGGCAGCCAGTAGGGATGAGGGGAGCAGTTAAACTGCCGGATGTTCATCACATTATTCTCATATTTCAGCACCGCCGCTGAGGACAGAACACACACACACACACACACACACACACACACACACACACACACACACACACACACACACACACACACACACACACACACACACACACACACACACACACACACACACACACACACACACACACACACACACACACACACACACACACACACAGAGACACACACACACACACACACACACACACACACACACACACACACACACACACACACACACACACACACAGAGACACAGACACAAACACACACACAGAGAGACACACACACACACACACATCAGCATTTCCTCTCTCCTGTTGCCAGGGCTTCAAGGTTTCCAACCTGTTGCCATGGTTTCCATCCTTCACTCCTCTCACCTTTGTTATTGTACACATCCAGGTAGTTAGGAGCCGAGAAGATTGTAATTAAAGAGGGGAAGCCTGTCGTCTGACTTTTCCTGTACATTCGATACCTGACGGACACAAACACACAGAGTCACAAAGGAAGCGATGAAGACGAGGGTGAGGATGAAGATGAACTTTCCCTGGGGGAAACATTCAGAGAGACGAGAGAGACGAGCAGACGACACTAAAGTATTTCATTAAGCACATATTTAAAAATCTACTGTGACAGTGAGTGAACCATGTTTCTGATTCACTCCTCTCCCATTAAACATCTGGTGACCCCTCACATCATCATGTGACCCCCGAAACCCCCCCCCCCCCCCCCCCCGACTGGAAACCACAGACTCAGACTCTATGAGCGAACTGTGGAAACAGAGGCACAGAGATAACTCCAGCAGCCAAACTGTTTGATTTATAAACACTGGTGTGAATAATAATATAAGCTATATGTAGTACAGGTAACACACACACTGTAATTATACAGTGATATCAAATGTACATCAACAGCATCTCGCTGATTGTCCACTCGTCCTCTTTCATGCTCTTATGTAGTTTCAGAAGCTGCTGTTTATTTAGTTTTAGTCTCTTTTTCATCATGAAAAAATTCATGTTTTCATCCTGTTTTCTGTTGAAGAAATGAACAGAGACAGTTTCAGCCTGTGCAGATGTTTCTGAGACACAGAACATCTGGTCATCCAGCAGAGATGAGTTACTGCTGTGACGGTGGTTTTCTTGTGTTTGTTTTTTTTGTGAAAATTAAAAAAAGAAAGAACCAAAGACAATCATAATCAGAAATGGAAGAGAATACAGAAATACAGCGTATAATATAATATAATATAATAATCAATGAGTAATCAAAGCAACAGATTGATGTGACTCACCCTGCGTCCTGGGCTTCATGTGCTCGTATTACAGACAACAGGTTATTGTTCATCAAGAAGTCACATACTGCTGGGTAACTGCAGACACACACACACACACACACACACACACACACACACACACACACACACACACAGAGTTAGTACATGAACAAACATGATGACAGAGTGACTCGTCATCACATGATCAGACGCCAGTTTGGTAAATAAACGACTCAGCTGGTTCCAGTGAACCAGCGTTTATATCAGAGTGGAACGCTGCGTTCACCTGCTGCAGGAACAAACTGAGGAGCTTGTTTTCACACCTGAAGCTGCACAAACCACCTCACCTGTCTGTCATGAAGTTAAGGTGCGAACAGGAGGAGCTGTTGCGTTTCGTATTCCACGTCTGAAGGTCTTTAATCTCGTTTTACATTTTACCTGATGAGTGGAACGATCACTTCTACAGACTGCTCCCACACGATCTCATCAATGATATAAAACTGGCTCATGCAGTGGTCCCTGAACGCATCACCAGTGATCTTCATGAGGTTCTCTTTGCATGTGAAGCTTTAGTTGCTACAGTCTTTACATTAAAGTGACAGTTCAGGTTATTAGACTATAGTCAGTGTTTTAGCTGCAGTAGATTCAGTAAATATCATCAGCGTCAATGAGCCAATCAGCATGCAGCAGCCTCGGTGGTGATTGGCTGTTTCTTTGTTTGAGTGTGTAAAGAGGAAGTGAAGCTAAAATCTGTACAATAATGTGTTGTAATTAAATTAATAAAACTGTTAATGAATCGACATTTTGGATGGATACCCAGCCGCGTGTCTGCAGTAGATTCAGATCAGCTCCCAGCTTAGAGGAGCAGCAGCAGCACCTGTACAGAAGCTGTGATGAGCTGCTGGGGGCGTCAAAATCAAACTAACAGCCAATCACCAGCATTGTTAGATCCCGGTCCAAGCACGCTGCATGCTGATTGGCTCACTGACGCCTTAAGTATCAAATCACAAAGACATTTTTAAATCCTCGTTAGTATCAAACCGATTAGCTCGGTCCATAAAAAGTCCCGTTTGATTGGCAGCTCCACAGCAGCAGCGACACGCAGCTAAACGCCGACAGACGGCTGTAATCTCTAATACATCTATCAGGACTGTTGCAGAAACACAGTCATTCACAGTCATTTCTTAATGACTGGTTTAAATGTGATGCTGCTGAAACAAACTAATGCAGGATAAAAGAGGCTTTAGAGCCGCAGCAGCGTTCACCTCTCTCTGACCTCCATGTGGAGTCAACACGGCAAATTCAGTACAAATATTAAGACAGAGCAGAGAATGCTAATATTTGTTTCCACTATCTGTCTGACAGCGGATTTAACAGCGCTCACTTATCCACAGATAAGCCATTGTTTAGAAAAGCTCTAATCAGCTCAGATTAACATGAAGAGCTGCTTTTTGTCTGTTTTTTATTTCCATGTTAAAACGTTTCCCGCAGCGAGCTCCGTCCCCACGCCGCCGCCATACCTGTAGAAATAAGAGCAGCCTCTGACACTGTTGTGGCAGAAGTGTTCCTGGGTCTTTTCTGAACCGTAGTCCTCCCCCGGGTCCGACCACAGCAGGTCACACATCGGCCCGAACGCAGGGGGCTCCTTAAACCGGTCCAGCTGCACACACACACACACGGGAACAGGTAAATGAGACAGGGAGGGGGACCAATCAGAACCAGGCAGGTTCAAAACTCTGGTGACGTTCGGATTTACCACAGGAGAAGAAAAAACACAACTGAAACCAGGAGCACGAGTCATGAAGAAGAATATTACAACTGAAATTATTAAACAATAAAATTTATCTGCAACTATTGTGATAATCAAATAATCTCAGAAGAAGAAGAGGAGGAAGAAAAAGAAGAAGAAGAAGAAGAATAACAGGAAGAGAAGTTTTAATGGACCAACAACAGAGAAATCTAAAGAGACGTTTAAAGATGGAAACACATCAGGTCACATGACACATCTTTAACCTGTCGCCTCCCTCCATCAATAACCTCTAGTTACTGATGTTTAATGTCCTGCAGCAGCAGAACAAGGAGCTCACACACACACACACACACACACACACACACACAGGTCCTGGTGTTATAATCATGTGGCTACATCTGGAAACAGATGCTCACAATGACTGGATGATGAACATGTTGCAGCTGTGGTTCTGTTGCTTTAGCCTGGCCTGGACAATAACAGTAATAATCATAATAATAATGATGTGCATAATTCATGGTAAATGTATTTCCCACAGTCACTGCAGACAAGTGAACATGTTGTATGACTGTAAGGCAAAGACACATTATTTCTACAGCTTCATATTCTTCTCTCGCTGTGTGATTATGTTGTTTATCATTTTCATCTCATTGAAAATCACTTTTCATTTTATTCTGTTTTTTTTCCAGAGGTGTTTTTCATAATGTTCATTACCTGGAGTATTCATGCCATCAGTGTGTGTGTGTGTGTGTATTGATGTGTTAATAAACTGTCAGATGGGCCAAACACAACTTTAATGGACAATAAAGTTGTCTTCTATCCTAATTTCACTGCTGCAGTAATT